CCATCCATCCATCCATTGTGTCAAGCACATTTGTACATTTGTTGCCATCATCATTCTCAAAACATTTGCTTTCTACTTGAGCCCTTGATATCAGCCCCTCATTTTTTATCTCCCTCCCTGCCCCTCTCCCTCATAAACCCTTGATAATTTATAAATGATTATTATTTTGTCATATCTTACACTGTCCGATGTCTCCCTTCCCCCACATCTCTGCTGTCCGTCCCCCAGGGAGGAGGTTATATGTAGATCCTTGTAATTGGTTCCCCAGCTATATTTTACTCTTAGAAACATCTTTCATCTCTAATATATTATAATTCAAACACTTCTTTCCATTCTTTGCTCTTCCAAAAATGTCAATGATTTCATCACAATTCAGCTGCTGAACATACAATAAGGTGAGTGAATTGAGTCTTTCTCCAATCACTGAGGATGGCTGAGCCTCTTTGGCGTAGTGGTTATTATGTGTTGGCGGTAATTCTAAACCACTAGCCGCTCTGCTGGATAAAGAGGCTTTTAAAGAAGTTGTTTTATCACATTACCACAATTAACTTTAGAACATTTCCTTTTCCCCTCATGAGTAAATCGCCTTTAAAATGAGTTGTGTAATCACACTCTGTTCTAGTGCTCCCTCCCTCCCCCTTCATTGTTTACTCCCGAAATCCCCTCCCCCTCCCCATTTGGCCCCCCTACCCCACCCTACATCCCCTATAAACCCTGGCCTCAGTTATTAATTAGCTCTATGCATCCCAGTGGGAAACACAATAGAAACACAGAGACTGTGGCGTGGGACCGTCCCCATGGGAGAGGCCAGGTCACCAGACCCTCCCTTCTCCAAGCGCATCTCCCTCCTGAGAGCAGGAGGCAGCGGGCGGTGGGGCTGCTATCTGCTCCCTTCCTGGTCTGTCTGGGGCTTCTTTCTGCCTTGAGCCGCAGGGTGGCTGTGATTGGAAGGAGGAGGTCTGGACTTTCATCCACGGTCCCTTTGGAAGTGAAGGGGAGGGCTGGTTATCACAGCCCCTCCCTGAGAATTATCACCAGAGCAACAGCCCAGAGGGAGCCGGGTAGGAGTCAAAAAGGGAGCAGAGATTCCTATCTCATTTTGAATGTGTTCTGTGATTTTATGAAAGGTATTTTTGGTGTAAGGAAATATCCATTATAAAAAGCTTAATTTCCTCTGTAAACCAATATGTACATTATATAATCAGTTTTTCAGACTTTATGTAAAGAGTGAAGTACTTGATTTGCAACTTCTTCCCCTTGTGACCCTGTAAGCTGGTAAAGGTGAAACCTCATGAGAGGCTGTGGGACACACGCTTCTCAAAACAGGACTTGGCTGATCGTGCGTGAAGGGATCAAGGTGTGCTCACGGCACTGACAGCTGGTGGAGCCTTACCGTTTACTCAGGTCACCAGTTCTTCACGGACAGTTTGGATGTAAGCAATGATTCGTCCTTTCCTGTGTCAACACACATTTCTTCCCCCTACTGTGGCTTTTTTTTTCCTTTTCAGTTTTATTGGCACATAATCCACATCATACAATTCAATCGTTTAATCGTGTCAAGAATGGTGCAATCATTACCACAATCAATTTCAGAACACCCCCACCTTCCCCATGACTAAATCACTTTTAAAATAAGCTGTGTGATCACACTCAGTTCTAGTGTTCCCTCCCCCCCACCTTCACTGTGTCCTCCCCAAATCCCTTCACCCTCCCCATGTATTCCCCCAACAGACCTTGCCTCAGTTATTATCTCTCTGAATCCACTCCTTCTGTGCTTTACTGATTGGTAAAGCCAACAGAAACAGGAGGACAAGATGAAGTAAAGTGGTCCTGACAAAACAATGGCAATAGAAAGATCAAACCCCACAAGGAGCAGGAAAGACAAGACCTCCACCAGCATTTAAAACCCCAGCATCCAGCAAGAGACTTGCACCTGGAACAGACTCAGGTTGGGTCTAGACCGAGGTCACCTGACCAAGGATCAAGGTTGATCCAGCATAATCAGGATGGCAATGATCTACGTTTGATAATAAGGCTTTGCCAGACCTTGGCCTGTGGCTGGAGGGGCTCTGCCCCCAGCTGACCCTGACTGGATGCTTTGCAGACGGGTTTGGGGCTCCCACCGTCCTCCGCAGCCTGCCACAAATCCGGTGTCCACAGTTGAGGCACTGATACTTTTCCTTCGGTCGGAATTTTTGTCCTT